TAGGTGCTGTGCTTTGCGCTTTTAACCTTTCTGGAGAAGCTCCTGTTTATCAAGACTGGATGCGGAACCTCTTCTTTCACAGAATATAAGAAACGCTGTGTTGATTTACGGATGATAGCATAAAGGCGCGGCCATATTGGTGAAATTCCGTGTGCAATATTGCCGATAGCGTAGAAATGTATCAGAAGTTCGCACAGAAGTATTCAAACCTTTCTGTTGGGCAGCAAATTTGCATGACCAACTTGACCACAAGCGAAATCTGTGCGGGGGGAAAAACTTAGCCCTCGCGTTAAAGACAAAAAAAAACTCATGATCGCGCTGATTCTTTCACTGGAATCCGAGCGGTTCTTATCGGACTTCACCCACGGAATTTCACCGAGCAACGGTAAATGTGGCCGCACCTCAAGAACGATTTATGCTGCAGCAGTTTGCATTATTCTCTCACATTCTCACTAAAACAGTCACCTGACATATATCCACATTTTGTTTGTCAAAAGGATCAGCCAATATGTACTCAAATCTATTTTCAGATGCCCCCTTTGTTCAATATTCGACTGATCCCTTTATACATGCAGTATATTTGTTTGTTATTTGCTCTAACTGGATTAGTGGAGTGAAAGCTCAGTTTGGGTCTTCGCAATATGACCAGCAAGAGTTTACTGACCCATCTCTCATAACAATCCCTTCGATACATAGAGGGCAAATATAAGTTTGACGTCCTTCGACAGTTCGGTCGTGAAACAGCTGGATTGCTGTACTTTGTGTTGTACTTAATGGTTTTTCAACTGAATAAAATCAATCTAAAAAAAAAAAAAACAGGCCTATATACAGTTTCTTGAACGTCAGTGATGCGTCCAATTGAAGATGCATATTTTTTGACAGTTTTACACTTACAGGGTCGAGGTATAATAACATTTATTTATTATACACGAGGCAGGTCAACCCATTGTGTTATGTGATGATAGACTGTTAAAAAGAAAGGTTCTTTATTATCATGAAAAAAAAAGCTCTTCATATGAAGAAAACGATGATTATTTTTGAAGATCAGTTCACTGAACGTTTCTTCAATGGAACAAAATGGTTCTACCAACCCGATCTCACGACCAAGTCGTACGAATTCGACGAATGATTAAAAAGTGGCTAATTCGTAACAATTCATACGACCTCACTCGTACGAATTAATACGATTTTGCTAAATCGTACATATTTTACGAATTGGCCAATTCGTATGAATTCGTACGAATGACCTACCCCTTACCCCGCCCCTAAACTTAACCATCACGTGGGTTTAGACAAATCGTACGAATTAGTACGAGTGAGGTCGTACGAATTAGACACTTTTTAATCATGCGTCGAATTCGTACGAATTGGTCGTGAGATAGTGTTGGTTCTACGGTATCACTGCAAAAAACGGTAACGCTTTAGATTACAGCCCGGAAAGTACTGTGTAATTAAGAGGAATTATAACTTTCTGTAATTATTGTCTACCTATAACATACTTACATGTAAGTTTAAGGGGACAATATGTAAAGTTTGGGGAATAAAGCGGTAACAACCAGGAAAATTAAAAAATATATATATATATTTATACGCTAAGTATTATAGAACTAAGGGGTACTTATTCTACTATTTTGAAACAACAATCTTACATTTGGGAGCAATTTAGCAAGAATATTCCCTGCAATTGTGTATCAATACATATATTTATTATTAGAATTTATTAGGATTAACCCCTTGAGATGTATCATCTCGTTTTCGAGGGGGTCCTTACAGTGAAACAATAATAACATACTGTAGGCTTTTTAAAAATGACAGGGTGGTACAAAAATAAATAAAAAATAAAAAATTTGATAGCAAGTGTGCCGATGTTTAAGTTTGCAATTTTTTAAAATATACTGGAAATATATCTGCTTTCATGTGGTTACAGGGTAAGTGGTCCTTATATAATAAATAAAGGTTTCCGAGTCAGTGATATAAGATTGTCTATGCATTTTTATTGTACTTACCCAATAACTACATGGAACAAGAAGGTAACAAACACCACTACATGAAACAAATCTTTCCCCAACATTTAAACAAAAGTTGCAATAGTTTTAGTTTTCAGTGCACTTTTGTTAAAAAGATTACTTTATAAATGCATCGATATATACCCTGTAATTTTACTGGTTCACAATTATTTCAAAATGGTATGTTCTTGCTAAATTGCTCCCAAATGTGAGATTGTTGTATCATAATAGTAGAAAAAGTACCCCTTAGTTCTATAATACTTACACTATAAATCATTTTAAAATTTCTCCTGGTTGTTACCCCTTTATTACCCAAACTTAAAATATTGTTCCCTTATACTTATATTGTAAGTATGTTACAGGTACACTATAATTACCGAAGGTTACAGTGTAAAATCGCTTTAATTACGCAGTACTTTCCGGGCTGTAATCTAAAGCGTTACCCAAAAAAACATTATTTTTAAGAGTGAATGTAAAATGCACACGACTTCCGCTTCTCGAAACCAAACGGTTTTCCTGACGATTTGATTTAAAAAAGGGATTTGTTTTATGCAAACATGTCAGACTTTAGTGTTATCTACTACCACAATGCATTGTTTGCAGTGTTTTCACGAGTTGGTAGAGGCACGCGCATGAACATTATTGGATGGAGCCAAATGCGAGTCATTCCATCAATGAGCAAATGCAAGTTGGCACAATGGGACAAACCCCCACAGACGTGTTTACACAGGCTCTGGCCATCACAATAATGTCTAGGCCACAGACGTGCTTTGAAAGGATAAAAGTGACCAAGTGTTATTTGTGGCATCTCATCCACAATAGTTGGGTATTGCACAACCTGCGGCATTGCAAATGACTTAACGTGGAAACCTCACAGTTGTTTTTAAAGATTAGCGACATATCTTTTGTCCAGTAGTGACACACATCACAGTAAAAAAAAAGAATGGGGTTATAGATTGTTGACTGGATGGAGTCAACTGGGAGAAAGGGGGTTTGAGTGAACTGGACACTTCAAGTCAATTCCATGTCAACTCAACCACTTGTTTGGTTGGTTTGATTTTGCTTTTCGGTGAAAGAAATACATAAATGAGGCCAAAATATTAAATTGTTAATACATCTCGAACTTAAATGGTTGTAATTCAAGAATGCTTTGGAATATCGATGTAAGATTGGTCTCGTTTTAAAGACATTTGGCAGATTTGTGTAGAAGTGAAATAAATTAAGAAAGTGAAATGAAAAAAAAAGTTACAGAAGTTTGAGTTACATGAAAATGAAAATGTACAATGTAAAAAAAAAAAATAATTATTCATATTTTATATAAAATATGTATTTTTTTTAAAAACCTGGGCAGACTCTAAAACGGCAAAAAAAAAAAAAAAAAAAAAAGTCAAATCCAAAAATCGAAACGAGTTCAGTTTCAAATTTTAGGTTGATATCTCAAAAAATGAGCTCTGAGTAAGATTTTGTTTGGGTGCAGTACCAAACTTTTCCACTAGGTCACAACCAGACTCCATTACTGCCCATATAAGGGCGCCTCCATTTCCATATGTGTTTTGAGCGAAATCAACCGTTATTTCCACAGTTTTCATACAATTTCTGAAGTAGACATCCTATTCAGAAGTAATACGAGAATTTTGATATGAATTCAACCTCTAAGAAACATAAAAAGAACAAGTATGTGCATTATAGCTCGCTGCCACATCACAAATGCTGAATCTTTAATTATTTTCTTCATATTTAAAACAATTTCAAACCTTTTTTTGTTTTTTAAATAATTGAATGGATGCTATCCTTTGAGCTCTTGGCATGAAAACAAACTGAGGTTTCTGCCAATCTTTCATTATTTTTCATGTTCATCACTATTTCAAAATAAAGGTCTAAACACTCCTCAGGAGTATGAAAATATTCTTGTCGCAAATTGATAAATTAAAGCTCCACTGTAATTTATTTGGAAAATCGGTCACCAAATATGGAAGCTTTAAATTGATATAGTCGGCCAAGATTAGTTTAGGTTTAGTACAGGATATTACGGTTTTAAAAATGTAATGGATGTGGGCCAACCGGTGGGCCGGTGACAGAGGTTAAACGCCATGAATGAATATTTACTGTGAAACCCATTATTTTGTAAAGGGGGCCAAAATGACAAATTTGACAAATTACAGGAAGGGGGAAATAACCATTTTATATAACTATTATTTTTGGTACGTTAGTCAAATCTATTGACTTTCACAATGGGTAACATTATATGCCGATAATCAAAAATGGGAAAAAGCACTATGTTTCCCCTTCAAGTTTGCATTTCTGGAACTCAAGAAGTATTAAAGATATCCTTATATCATTTTAGATTTAGGTTCTTACCAACAACTTTAGTACCATAATTTTTAAGACCCACAATCCCAACGAAATGGGAATTTCTTTGTGGCTATACTATTTATCTTTGTCTTTCTTAAATAGGAAATTTTTGCTGAGAAAGTTTCTGAAATGTGGTTGCTTTGACACTAAATTACCACATTTTGAAGCGAATGACTCCATTTAGATTTGACTTTATTTAAATTACATATGCATGTACACAAGGAAAACAATATTACAGTTTCTATAGAAAACATATCTGGCACATGCCAGTATTAACTAGAATTCAGGGTTATGTAAACATAACATTATGTAACCAAACATCCTGCACACACATCTGAACGTAGTTTTAGGTGAAACAAGACAAAAATGGTTGTGAAAATTCAAGAAACTGAAGAACCTTTTGGTTGGAATATTTACTATATTATACTACACTGGATATTCAAAATCAGAAAAATAAAAATATCAATCTAATTTAACTGTCTTAAACTGAATATTGCAGAAATTTTCATTTATTTACCATTGGAATATTCTTGTCATGTAAATATGATCAGAATATGAAACCCATTTAGAAAATGAGTGTCAATCACAAACGCATCAAACAATTTTGGCAAATGTTCCTTAAAATAATGACAGCAAAACACAAATGTTAAAATGCCTTCCTTTATTTTGTCATTTTTTGTTTTGTTTGAGAATAACAGGCACATACAATATGGGTTTAAGCTGAATATCATTAGACAAAAAACATTGTCAAGTCCCCGTGGATTTCAGCAGGCCTAATATTTCACAATATGGAGAAACAAACTGCAACCAGATGTACGGGACGGGTCTAAACTTTTCTAAATAAATTTAAAAAAATCTATATGAAAATGGCTGTTGACAGAAAACCATGAAATTCAGGTCCATTTACTCCCGAGTGTGAAAAACAGGTCAGGACTGAGCCGATGCTCACACACACACACACACAAAAAGCGAACATAAAACAGTTATCCCTGGTTCAAGCATAAATGGCCAAACACAAGAGTATCTAAGCGGTAGACAACACGACAGATGGACAGTTTATTTCTGTTGTCCTTTAAAGCCTAAGCAGATTCAATTCAGAATGTGAAAAAAATATATACGCAGACTGAACAGACATTTAATAAGGCTCTCTATATACACTGGCGCTCAGATGTACAACAATCTGCTCGTTTCAGATCCTCAACGCTTCACACGGCGTCGTGAAATGTGGAGCACCTCTGATCCGAAAACACTCCTGAGGGAAGGAGGGACTCATTTTGTTTTATGAAAATATATATATTCCATCATTTAAACCCTAATGTGAACTGCTTCCAATTACCAAATGAAAAAAAAAAAATCATGCAAACTTTCTTTAAAGAGAGCGTTTAAATTCATTGATATTGAACACTGTTTCTCATCTATGCATATGGTAGAAATACCTGGCTTTTTTGTATTTAATAAAGAGCACTAAACTGATACACCAGTATGAAATGAACTTGCATTTAAAAAAACAAAAACAAAACATGGCTCACAAAAAAGAAAATAAATCTTTTAGCGCTAAAAAAACACTGCTGACCTTATGTAATGTTAGAGCTGAGAGCTAAACTGTGATAACACTCGCTAGACTGAATAACATGTGTTTTGTCCCACTATAGCCACCGTTACTGCGTGCGCCGGGTCGCTGAAGGTCAGTTTCGACTAACCGTTACTTTGTCTTCTTCTCTGTGGCCAATGTGTCGTGAAGCTTTGAGACATGTTTTTCAAATTGGTCCATCACCAGCGTCCCGTTCTCGTCGAAGAACACCCCGACCGACTTTGTAAACTCCGCCTCCCTGAACAGCTTGGTTTTCCCGTCAGTGAAGGACACTCTTAACGTATACTGGTCGTCAAACCTAATGGACACCAGACATTTGGTACTTTAGTAAACCACAGTATCAAACTTTTTCCCCTGATGAGCGGCATTGCTAATAGCACATTTTGTATGTCTCCCTCATCTAGCAAACCCGATTCAACCCTTAAGCAAGACTTGAATTTGGTGATAAACGCAAGACTGTCTGATGAGGGAAACATCCATAAAAAGTGCACTGGTAGGAGAGTTCCCATGACATGTTTGAGAAGCACTGGACTAAAATATTGCTTTAATCTATATTGATTAATCAAAATGAAGAGAAAAAAATGTAGATAATCAAGAAATCTAGCTTTCAGCCCAGCACTAGTAGCTAGAGTGTTCTGTACAGCACACATTTAAGACCCCAATATACTTTAAACGCTATCCAAGAATGGACTGGCGTGACGTTATTTCGGACAAAATCCGGCCAAAACTAAGTTTGTTCGGAAAGCAGCTTCGAACCAACAAACTTAGTTTTGACCTGATTTTGTTCCGAAATTACATCACACCAGTCCATTCTTGGGTTTCTCTCAAATCTTGGAAAAGGTCGCTCCGGCTGGCAAATGCCTTCAAACTATCATTTAGGGCTGGGTATCGTAACAAAAATTTCGATACCGATACCTTGACTTCGATACCGGTTCCTGAATGATGCCTTTTTCGATACCAATTTTATGTAACCAAATTTAACAATATAATATTACATTTTTATTTTATTTTTCAGTTTGTTGACTTTCACACTCATATTTTGAGTATGTAAAAAAGCACCAAATGCTAAAGTTTTCAGTTTCCTAATCATTTAACAACATGTATTCTTTACTTCAATGAGCTCATTGTTGCTGCCTCATCTTAATGCATTGTTTAACAATGATGCAAAGTTTTTGTAACAATGAAACTGAATGAAAATTAATTGAAATTAGAGCCAGGCGGATATATCGGCCGATATTATGCATTTTCCAAATTATCGGTATCGGCAGTTATAATGGCCGATAAATGAATATTTAAAAAATAAAATAAAAACGGACAAAACACGCTTCAATCATCTCTCATTGGCCTGTTATATAGAAAATGTATGTTTTGCAGTATGATGTGATCTATTGATAAATTATGGCTCATCATAGACTAGCTAACCACAAAGCTAGCTAATGCCACTATCATCAGTGGAAGACCGCTAACGTTAACATTAATGAGCTTGGAAACAATGAACTTTTTCTGCCTAAATAAAGTAATGATTACTGTATTTATAACTAGCATATCTCTAGTTACAATCAAGTTATACTTGCGAGGAGTGAACATTTAGACAGAGAGAAAAAGTATAAAATGTATCTTGTGCAGAAAAGTTAGCTTTTCTTTTACACGTGTGTGAAATCCAACAATATTTAATAAAAAAAAAATAAAAATATAGGCCGATATATCAGAATATCGGATTTTAAAACCCAAAAATATTTGTATCGGTATCGGCCTTCGAAATCCTTTATCGGTCGGGCTCTAATTGAAATGCATTAAGCTGTCACCTCTGATAACAGATCATCACTCTAAATTGTAATTTAGAAACATGCATTTTCTGTAAAGCAGCTTTGAAACGATATGTATTGTGAGAAATGCTATACAAATAAATGTGAATTAAATTAAATATAGGCTTCTGGGGGGTGGGATTTATGCCTCGCGCTCAGCACACGTGAAGCTCGCTGCAAAGCACTGCCAAAAGTAGCCTAATGATTATGATCACCTTTTTAGGCTAGAGGACAGCTGCCAATTGTGATCAGGGTCCATTCCAGCTGGGTCCTTCTGCAAGGCCACAAGGAAGATGTTCCTCTCTTTGTAAGAGGTGTACAGGGTCAAAATCCCCATCATTATGAAGTACGTGTCGATCTGTTAAGGACAAGAACTGAAGCAGTGCCCAATTTACATTCATTTGCATTGTCAAACCAAATTTGCTCAATGAAGGATATGAAACAACACAACACGCCAGTACGGGCTTGGACTCCGGGAACGGGTGGAGGTAATCCCAAATTAAAGCTACAATGGCGAAAAGGCAGGAGATCGTGCAAATGAACAGACGTCCATCCACTAGGTTGAAGTTCTCAACGTAGCCATATTTTTCAATCAGAACCTATGGGGGGAAAAAGAAAGAGTCGATGATTTAAAAACTCATCTAATGGACATAACCAGTACAAAACAAAGTCTGAATAAATGTTTGGAACAAATACGATTTTTTTAATGAAAGAAGTTTGTTCTGCTCACCAAGGCTGCATTTATTTGATTTGAAATGCAGTAAAAATTATTACTACTGTGAAATAGTATTACTACTTTAAACAATATATTAACTTTGTTATAAATTAATTAATGTAATTTATTCAGTGTCATGTTATCCTTCAGAAATCATTCTGATATGATTTGTAGCTCAGTTAGTTTAAGATCATCAACTTAAACAGTTTTGCTGCTTTATTATATATATAAATATATAAAATAAAATAAATATATAAAAATTATATTAACATTTTCAACATACAGTACCGGTCAAAGTTTGGGAACGTTACTATTTTTAATGTGTTTGAAAGAAATGCTTTGATCAAAAATACAGAAAAAAAGTTACCTTATGTAATAATATTATGATTTAAAATAATGGTTTTCTATTTTAATGTATTTTAGAATAGAATTTATTCATGTGATTATTCAGCATCATTACTCCAGTCTTCAATGTCACACAAAACTGATGATTTATTACTAATGTTGAAAACAGCTGTACTTCTTAATATTTTTACCTGCGATACCCTTTTCAGGATTCGTTGATGAATTAAAAGATGATTCATCAGCATTTATTCGAAGGAGAAATAGTTTAAAAATATACACTACCGTTCAAAATTGAGGTCATTAATATTTTTCTCTCTTTTTTCAAAGAAATTAAAACTTTTCTTTAGCAACGCTGTGTTAAATTGATAAAAAAAAGAGTCAATTTGTATATTGTTAGAAGAGATTTCTATTTTTAATAAACGCTGTTCTTTTATTCAAAACTGTTTCCACCATTGATAACCTGAGTATCAAATCAGCATTATTTTAAATTGTAATAATACTTCACAATATTATTATTTAGGCTTCAAATAAATGACACTTCTTTCAAAAACATTACAAATAGTAATGTTCCCAAGCTTCTGACCGGCATGCGTGTACTAAGTCAAATTAAATGAATTGTATATAACAGACCTTCTTAGCGCATCATCTAGAGAGTTCTTCACAGCTGCACCATCCCATTTGTCGATCTTCACTGGCTTTTCATCAATCCTCCACTGAAACACATGCAATATGGTTAAAAGCAAGCCACACTGTCAAGCCAAATAGATTGAATATATTTTCATATGTGCAAGATAGGTATGCAAACTAAACACAGTACAGTTACTGTACACCTTTTAAGCTAAATGAATAGGTCTGCGTTGCTACTGAACTGACAGCATATGACTTGTTTTTATAAGATAGATAATATTAAGTTAGTTTGAATTGCATCTGATGACATGCTATTAACAAAATCTATCTAATAGACTACATTGTTCAATTGCATTGCCTTCACTAGCAGGACTCCATATCCGTAACATATGGTTGCTACTATTGTAGCATTACTCTTTTAATAAATCCCTCAAGTTATTGATATAAATCAGCCCACAGCTACTGGATTATCATCAGGCATATTACCGAACAGAAAGTCATCACTGTCTGTCAGCCACGTCAGAAACTTCGTGTATTTGTGAATATTAAAATCTGCATCACTGCAGACTGATGGAGCACATTTACACGTCAGGCCAACGTGCATAAATCGTGCATATAATATACATTCCCTGAATAACGATAGTGTGTTAACATTTAGACAGTTTTGCCTTTTATATTAAAGTAAATGGGGATTTTTATTGTAAAGCTTGCGCATTTGTGGTTATGCTTAATATAAAATACTGTAAGCCAGCTTCTGACAAAGCGTCTGAAAAATCACCAATTTGAAATACTAAGTTTCAGAATACAAATAACAGGAAAGTCACAGTAAAAATGTTTTGTCCATTTTGACCGAAATGGAAACCAAAGGAAAGCATACTAACGTTCTCCTGACTGGAAATAAAATGACACGTTTATAAGGCGAAGGAAATGATGTGAGCATAACACAATATTGTGTGCAACATAGCTCTATGCAGCGCATTGTTAGCTCGGTTTTCAAAACGCATGATAATTAACGTTACATTAATGATAATGATTTTTACATTAGTCGTGGGCATTCGTTAATATACAATATACAAGTTTCCGTTTTATCTCCTGACACGCAAACGAGCGCCGTGGTCGCATCAACATCGAATCAACAACGAGTATGAAACATGAAATATGAAAACAAAAATAAACTATGTTGAGCCCTAAAACTCATACAGTCTCATAAAAGGCGATATACAATAAATGTTTCTTACTTTTTCCAATAGACCATTCTTTCCGTTCCTAGCCGCCATCTTTTCTTCCTGTTCATTTGTTCTGACCTGGGTGAGTATGATTGGCTAAAATCACTCAAATATCGTCCAATCGAAATGGGTTTGAAACAGGGAAACGGCAGCAGCTGTGGCGTCTGACGTCAAAGGGGGCGGGGTGGTGACGTTCACCCTCACGCACTGAAAAAAGCAGCGCAAATAAAAATGTAAATTCTCATGGTTGACAATAAAAAACGGTGCCCTTTATTGGCACGGAGATCACTACACACAGTGAACAAGTAAACTGAACTTACTGATTTTCCCGCCCAAACATGACAGCCGCAAATCCTGACGTCATCACCGATTCTCTATGCGATTATTTCTGTGTACTTGCACACGTTTGCAGTCATGATGATTACAGGCAACATCCTTTCAAACAAATATCTCAGTAAATTAGCCTCCTTTTTATTCCTGCTTTTTTTTTTCTTGAACCACAGAGCACACGATTCAGGGTTTCCACAAAGATGATGTACACCATTTAGCATAATTAGCAGATAGCTTTTTGCAGAGGTATGTTTACCATGTTATGAAATAAGGGCAAATACCTAGTTAATATTTAGTTATCTTCTTTTATTAATTGGATATGATTTTTTCCATCTTGATTTTCTTCAATAAATTCCTTCAAGGTAAACATAAAAAATAAAAATACGGTATAGGATGACTGGCAAATGAATCAATTGATTTTTTTTGTTCTGTTGATAATGAACACCCTCAAAAGAATACATTCTGTTATTGGGAAGCAATGCATATATGCTTAAAGGCGCAGTAAGCGATTTCTCAAAAATGTTGTTGATATTTGAAATCACCAAAAGAAAACACACACCGCATCTTGATAGCTCCGCCCCCAAATTCACAAACAAGTTGCTCAACACATGCACTAATGAGTGTTTACTCCCCTTACTGCAATTGGCTACAAGTGTTTTGTCGCTCAGTCTGATCCGCTTTCAACGGCATTCTCAGAAATCGCTTAATACACCTTTAAAAAAACAAACTAAATATTTAGTTTAAATACTTTTAATAACAAAAAAGGGAAAAAATCTTGCTTACAAATTCTGAATGAATGCTACATTATTTAATTCCTGCTCCTAGTGTTTTGTTGACAGAAAGCGGAAAATCATGTATAAAGGCAATGTTTAAAAAGATGACATTGTTACAAAGTACTGTTCAAATAAATATAATGTGTTCTTTACATCTCCACAGAATTCATTCTCTTTCAAATCCAGCAATACCTTTCGACAATGGAAGACACTCCGAATCCTTCGGAAGCCAGTCAGAAACAGATCCTAATAACATCTCTGCATCAGTAAGTCGTATTCCCAAAATAGTACAGTAATGCATAAAAATCTATTTATCTTCTCCAATAGTACAGCTGGCAACCTACAGTATTGTATAGAACTTAAATAATAGAAAACAAAAAGGAAAGACCATGTGATTGTAGAAATTAGGCATGTTGGCACATTAAAAATCAGTATACAGGATAGAAATAATCTGTAATAAAAAAAAGTAAAAAGTAGGCATGTGCATATAGATGTGGTCCAGCTGAATGTGTCTTTTTACTGCAAAAGTAACATGATTAAAGCTTTCTTGGCAGACACAAGTCACAAAATAGATCTCTCTAGTAAACAAAAACCTAACAGATAAAGTTGTGAAATGACAGTAGCCCCTAAGAGTGGTGTCTCGCCGCTAAATGACGATCAAGCTCAAAGTGAAATTTATAGAAAGTCGCCAAAGATACAATGACTGAAACCAATGTCTTAAACACAACCCAAATATTTGTTTTGCCAGTTGCCGAATCAAATAAGCATTCATGATTTTGTTTTGGTGTTATATCCACACACAGCTTTTGCGGAAGTATCCACTGCAGTTACTTTATGTCCTCTTCATCAAATTTATTATATTTCATTTAGATTACAGTTTGGAGACTGTCAAACCACTAGAGAAAAGAAAACAATAAAAGAAGCTAGGATTAGTTTAAATAATAAAAGTCAAAATAAAACGATCAGATTTCTTTAGAAATCTTAATGGTTACCATTGTCACACAATGCCTATTAGCATTTTAACATCCCAAACTATTTTATAGCTATTTTACTTAATGGTAAAAAAAAGAAAAATATTTGCACAGTTAGGCCAAAAAACATACTCTACAAAACATGAGACCACAAGCGCTTTCGCAAAGTCTTTCTTTCGAGTTTGATTTCAAATCATGAGATGTGTAACGCCACAAGTGTTGCATTCTCCGCTCTGCCACAAGGGGTGCTATAGCACGCAATCGCAGAACCCGTAATCTGTGATCGGTGTTCTCTGGTGAACCACTTACCACCTCCTTCAAGGTTTATTTTAGTTTGAAATAAGCTCTTATTGCTCTTATATCCACTCTTCATTGTAAACTTCAAAACTAGTTCAACAAATGTGTAACGGATTTTACGCTTTTGTTTAGTATCCTTAGATGTTTCATTTTGATGAACGAGTTTGAACAGGAGAGTCACAAACACGCATCACAGAACAGAGCAAGGCGACCATTTGAGCTTAAAAAACTTAAACTTTGTCATTTATTTTTGAAATGACCAATCGTTTCGCTAGATAAGACCCTTATTCATCGTCTGGTGTCGTTTAAAGCCCTTTGAACAGTTTGCAATGAAACTCTCATTTGGACCTTGAACCGTTTGGTACCCATTGAAGGCCATTATATGGAGAAAATCCTGGAATGTTTTCATCAAAAACCTTAATTTCTTTTCGACTGAAGAAAGAAAGACATGGACATCTTGGACATCCTTTAAGCGGTTCATAGCTAGCTAATTAAAAATAATACATCGTGATTAATGGCACAAACATTTGAAAGCAACTCTATGGATGACTTGAGTACTAAAGTTTGTTTCCTTCCCAGTACTTAAGGTTACACACATACAACAGTGCGCTCCTGCAAACCATTGACCAAGCATTTGCGTCTATGCACTTGTGTAGAGTAGTTTTCTGACCTAAGGCTACAATTTTACTCTTTCCCACCCAAATCATTCACAAAAAAAATATATATATATTCGTACGAGTTGTTTGATAGATTGATACATTAAAAAAAAAACCTTCCCAGGCCACTGGAAACAAGAAATTCCAACAAAAAGGGTTATGCTACACCTTTGTACAAAACACCTTCTGTTTTAACAAATGTCCTATGATAACTTTCAAACATGCAAACAAACTTCTTGAGGATCTATTGTGATTGTGATGAGCACACCGAGATTGTATTGTCTCTGGCTTGAAGACCTGAAAAGCCTTTTAAAAGAGTTCGTATACATTGTTCTGTATGCATTTCTGTCCCCCAAACACCTAGTTTCCTCTTTTTGAGTAGTAGAAGCCAGTTAAACACTAAGAAAACCAGAAACAAAACACTGCAGCTTTGAATCCCCATGGATGGGAAAGTTGCCGAGAGCCCAATTCTGTCCTGCGACCATTGCCCTTGAGCAAAGGCACTTAACCCCAGGTTCCTCTACTTAGACTCGGATTAAACACTTTGGATAAAAAGCATCTGTTACATGGCAAGCCGAAAACATAAATACCTTAATATCTTGCAATACTCATCCAGGTGTTAGAAAGCCTCTATAGTGCCTAAGCAAAGAAAACGTTAGCGACTGTTAAGAATCACTACGATAAAACTCGAGCAAGTCCCTTTAACAGCTATAGTTCAAGTGCTCATTTCTTTTGGAGAGTCTTCCTGATCTGCGTGTATTGTGTCCTACCATCCCATCTTTCGTAGCCCAGGACCTGAGTTCGTATTTGTTACGACTTGTTTTATGCCTGTCCACTTTTTGGCATTCTCTGTCAAACTGTCTCTGGAGCTTCAGTGCCAGTTCCCTGTCCACCTTTTCCTGATTCATTCGCCGGACAATAGGATCATCAAGCCTGTCGCAGGAATTGCAGCTACCGGTCCGAGATATTTTTGCCTGGAGTTTCTCCTCCAAGTGTTTGGTTTTGTGGCTTCTCTTTTTGCCCCTTCTTGAGGTAGGTCTGTTAAGTACACAGCTCCTGGTGCAAGGCTCGTTTATAAAGTTCTCAGGGTCTACACTTCCCTGATTACAATGTCCAGCGTGTTTATCTGACATCGGTGCACACGTTTCTGTTGGTTCACAGAGTGCTTCACATCTGCTACGCCTTTTTGGGGATGAAGTATCTGCAATAGTTTGAGTTGTCGACCTGACATGAGCGCTAACTTGCGGTGTCTCTTCCTCTCTGTTACACTGATCAAATATAAGCCGTCGTTTATTACAGACTACAAGTTTATGATCCTTAGACCCTTTGGCACTTGACTCACAAATGCACCGATGATCCTTCAAGCCGTCCGTGGCTACAGCACAGCTGCAGAGTCGGCTGTCCCGTTCTTCTACGGGACTCAGTTTATGGCTAGGATCCTCTGCGATCGGACTTGTGACTGTCCCTTTTGAGGTCACCTTGATGCTCTGACGATCAACTTCAATCTGCTTCCACTTCTGCAAGATGGTGGGGCTGGCCTCGTAGCTTGTGGACTTCTGCAGAGTGCGTGTCAAGTTCCTAGGGGTCGACTTCACGATCGTAGGCTCCAAAAGTCGTCCGTCGGGCAACCTTTTGGGTGGCGTGCACGGCGAGCAGACGATAGGCTTGAAATGGTTGAGTTCTTCCGATATGCTATCGTTGCTCTCGGGGCTAATGGACCTCTCTGGTTTCGTTTGAAGCACAGCAGAAACGGAAGAGGTGTGGATGCCCCGCCAGTGGTGTCTCTTATCTAGGCTCAGCACCGGGGCTGAAAAAGACAGACTATTCTCCGAGGAGAGAAGGATTCCAGCGTTGTAACTATGAGTGATGCTTGCCTAGAGCGGGGAAAGAGTGGGAGAGTAGTATGACTGACAAGCCTACCACTGATTGCAACAACAGATGCTACTTCCTTCTCCAGGGGTGTCCAATTGTGCTTCTGAAGGGGCAAGGACTGCCAGAGATTAGCTCACACCAGCCCTAAAACACTCCTCTGTAAGTTTCTAGTCATTTTGAAGACACCGATTAGCTGGTTCAATTTCTGTTTAATCCGAATTGGAGCTAAACTTCAGTAGCAGGATTGGACACCCCTGTCCTACTCTATAAGTTCTGTAGCCTATTGGCAAAGATTGGGTGAATATATTCCCGCCGTGTTGTAAATACCGTACTTATGAGATGACAACCCGGGACGTTCTACTTGGAGATGCTAAGGTTACAGGTCTTCTCGGACCCTAAAATCTGTACCCGACTCGAATCACTTCTTACAAAAACACGACGTGCATAAATTGTTTATTTTTTTAAGCAAAACCCGACCCAAGACAGACCTGATAAGAGTAGACTCAGGTCCGACTCTCCCCAAAGGCATTTATTTTTTAACCCGACTGGACCCAAACATAAACAGTGTCCTGCTGACTGATCTGGCCACTGCTCCATTACTTTCATTAATTTTAGTGCTGCTGCGATTAGTCGACGCCAATTTTTTTAGTCGACGCGTCGTTTTACTATTGATCGCATATTTAATTTTGGTCTCCCGTCTCAAACGCTGTGTCTCTCTGCCATCCTCTTCCTTACCCTTCCCCCACCTTAACTGCTTTAGCCGTGTTTCCACCGCAGGAACGTTCCCCAGGAACTAGGAACTTTGGGGTGGTCCTCGGTGTGTTTACACCACAGGAACCAGGGTCTAAATGAAGTTCCGGGTAAAATTTCCCCCCAGAAAATTCCTGCTAGCGAGGTAGTATTTTTTCAGAGTTCGGGAACTTTCGGGGTGGGACTTGTGCGCTGAACATGCTGATTGGTTCTTATCACTTGTTCTTTCTGCCCGATGGCGCGTTCATCCCATCCATCTCAATGTCCGCTGCTAACAAACGCCTACTTTTATATCTAGCAGTATGACCTTTCTGAATACGCTTTCGGTGCTCGTCTCTTTTCTGCCGTTTTGTTACCTCGTTACCTTATTACCTCGTTAGTAAACCAATCGCACACAAAAGCAGCACAGCTTAATCTCCAACATACAAAACTCAAAACAAACACGCTGACTGGGAGGAGCAGTCGCACGCAGTTCAACGTCACTGCATAATCTTCCCGCCCCGGGCCGGTACTTTAGTCCGCGGTGTAAACGCAGTAAGCAAGTGGTCTGGGCCAAAAAAAAAGTTCCTGTGAAAAAAGTTCCTGGGACAAATGGTTCCTGGTAATTGTGGTGGAAACGCGGCTTTTGATAAGACGAATTGCGAAGGCAGGTGACGGTGCTTTCACTCTGGGCTCGTTTGCTGCGGTCTGAGCCCGAGTGCAATTGTTCCCGGCACTCCCGCAGCGTTGGTCTGGTTTCACACTCAACTTCTACCGAACCCTGGTGTGTTTGCGTGCATCTTACGCCATCACGCAGATACACGCCGTTTAATCTGTTCTCTGGTGCAGGGGAAAACTCCAGAGCTTCAACCCAGTAAGGCTGGTTCGATCCCCAAAAAAAAAGCATTTCAGCCAAAAGCGTACTTCCTGTGTCCGCATTCCACTGCAGAAAATGAAGCATACCTGAGCCTTTAAACTTAAGTTTCTCTAGGACAGAGTTCTCCAAATCTGGCCCTAAAGGTCCACCATGCTTTTTTACAAACTTGCCAGCTAGTAATTTTCTAGTAATCCTGAAGACCTTGATTAGCTTGTTCATGTGCGTTTAATTAGGGTTGGACCTAAATGAAACTGCTTTGGATAATTGTGTCTTCTAAATGGTTGCTTGCTAAAATAATTGTTTCAGCACTCTGAATTTCAGAGCCAAATATATTTCTCAGAACAGGACTGGCGTTTCTAACAATAAACCCTAAACAACAAATTAGACGAATATGATAACACATTCCGGCAAAATCTGAAATATTATACCTTGTCAGTAACAGCATGATGTGTGTGAACTCTGCTTTTTCCTCTGCCATCCTCAGAATCCGTACAGCTCCTGCTCCTCTGAACGGCACTACTATGAAGACAACTGTAATGCAGCACAATGATGGTATGGATGTTTATCTCTATGTAACACCTCAAAATTAAATGTTTATTGAGGGAAGCATCACAGTTAAGTCACACTATTAAGCTTTCCTTTAACTGTAGATATTCTGCTATAATCAAAGGTATAAACCTATAAACTTATTTCATATATATAATTTGCTTGACACATTTGGCCACTACATAATTTGTATGCCTCCATGTTTTATTTTCATAGTTTTGGTAAATGTTTTTTTTTTTTTTTTTACATGTGGAGTATTGTCATATAAGGAATAGTTTTGTTTTAATCATCATAATAAAATCATAATTCTACTACTAATAATAAATACTAAGCACATAAAAACATATAAAATCTGAAGTAAATATGTGAAGTGCAATACCCTCTATTGAAAGCAGGGGAGCATCTTGTTTTCCGTACAAATGCTGAAACGTGTCTGGTCCTCTTTCCCACTGGCTCTTCATTCTCAGAGTCTGACACTCCACAGAACTGAAACACAGTAACTACAGTGTAAGACAGATGAGCAAACGCAATTAAGCAGCTGCAAAACAATTTTAATTATAGAAATATGCCAAATTGTGAAGTATGTGAATTAATGTGTACACCCAGCTTAAACTCAAGTAAGAAACAACGAAGGAGAGTTTTGAACATACAGGATATTGACAATGTTTGAGGATCCCACAGTCTTCTTTTCTATGGACTTTTTTCTTTCTCTCTTCAGTTTCTTCACTGCATCCACCCTGAAAAATAACCCTGTGCTTTATATATATATGTGCAACTGTATTAGTTCATGCTATAGGGAGAACAAGCAAAACAATCTTATTAGAAATCAGAAGTGCTTTGCATTTTACCATCATTTAAATCCCTTATGAAAGATGTTTGTCCACTTTCCACTTTGTTGGAACAACTTTATCAGATGTTAATACTGGGGTATTTATAAGGTACTACAGGTTAATTATAAAATAGCATGGCACATGTCCAAGAACAATATAACACTATAATTTTTATTTGTAAATGCATGCAAAAATTAATGTCATGTGAGAAAATGGCACAATTGACTGACTCAGTAGTGTCATGCCTCTGTAACGTACCTTCATCTTTTGTTTCTCATAGTCTTGACGCATTTCTCCAGGCTTATGAATTGGCACAGGCGCACGAAAAATTTCTAAGAGATGAAAACATAAGAAATCACACACACACAAACACAAAAAAAGACAATATGGCCAATTGGCTTCCCTTTTTCCTAACACAAATTCAACCTCACTAATGGGACCAAACCATGACAAAAACACATTTAAAGCTCTAGATCACTAGCTCCGCCCACTGGACACACACATGCCTGGACAAGTTACCTCTCAGTTTTACATTCAATCAAGTTTAAGGTCTGAAAACATGCCATATTTTTTACATTTTTTTTTACCAGTTGTCATTTTATGCGAATAAATGCTTAAATGACAATAATTTTAATAATTTTTGAAAAAAGAAAAGTTGTCAGTAGTTTGTAGAATAAGTCTGTGTGTGTGTGTGTGTGTGTGTGTGTGTGTCTGTGTACTACTCACTCAAACACATGCATATAAATAATAAATCCAGAGAAACTCCTAAGTATGCAGTGGTGTCTTATTCTTTTCCACAGAGATGTCTTGATATACAACAACAACAAAAAAGTATATTTTACTTGTTTGATCAAATTAGCCGCTAAAATCGTTTTTAGTTGTGGTTTTTAGAAATAAAAACGAAACGCGTCAGACGCGACGCGACCATGACTGTAGACACACAGACCAAACGTTTAAAAACAGCGCAGACAGTCAGTGTGAAGTGTGTGTGAACGCCCACAAAACACTGCTGTTTTCCTAGATTACAGTTCCCTGTTTTAAAAATCCCTTTCCTTCGCGTTGGATAATAGATACACTCGATAATAGAAACACAACTTGTTATTATGGAGTTATTAGGCATCTGAACTGAAATCACTGAAGGTGTACGTTACAACTGTCTGCCATGTCACTCCATGGCGAGTTCTCCAAGCGTAAACAATGATTTCAAACTCATGACTATTACGTAATATTCGTCAAGTCACACTCAGACTAACCCCCGTCCGCGATCTCCCCGTCCCTCTGCTCCATCCTCCGCCTGCATCTCTCCGGGTGACTGAGGCGGACCAGCTCCCACAGCTCGGCGTTGACCAGGCTCTTCTCCCGGGACTGTGTGCGGGCCCAGCTGGACACCCGCAGCCGGCACAGCGGACAGCACAGGCTGATCAGCTTCACCGTCCGCTGGAAGCAGTGCAGGCACACCGAGTGTCCGCAGGGCATCGTCACCGGCTCCAGGAGTATCTCCGAGCACACCGGACACCGGGCCTCTTCCAGAGACAGCGGAGCGGCGTGAGCGCCAGGCCTGCTTTTACCTCTCTGTCCCAGTCCAGTGGATTTGGCCGACCCCACCGCCGCCATCTTCGTTGGTCTGAGCCTGGGTTTGAAAACACGCCCCGCCCTCTCGTGACGTCACATGCAGCGGTGGGACCTATTTTATTTTTATTATTTTTTTATTTTATAGACTAGTTACAAAGTATCAGGGCACTTAACCTAATCTTTAAAACAAATGTATATAGTAACTTATATGTAATAAATACTGTATATACCGTTTAGAAATCACTATTTTTAATGTGTTTGAAAGAAGTCTTATCAAGCCTACATTTTTTAAAAATCAAAACTATTGGGAAAAAACGTAAATTTGTGAAATATTATTGCAATTTAAGATAATGGATTTCTGTTTTAATATGATGCAAAGCTGAATTTTCAGCATCATTAGTTCAGTCTTCAGTGTCACATGATCCTTCAGAAATCATTCTAATATGATTTATCATCAATGTTGAAAACAGTTGTGCTGCTTAATATTTTTTATAACCGGTGATTGTCAGGATTCTTTAATGAGTAAAAAGTTTTAAAAGAACAGCATTTATTTTAAATATAAATCTTTTGTAACAATATTCAAAAGTTTGGCGTCAGTATTGTTTTTTCTTTCTTTTTTAAAGACACATAATACTTTTATTCAGCAAGGATGTGTTATTTTTAGTGTTTTATTTTAGTTTAGTTTTTAGTATTTAAGTGATAGTAAAGATTTATATTGTTAGAAGAGATTTCTATTCGGAATAAATGCTGTTCTTTTTAACCTTTTACTCATCAATGAAATCTGAAAAAAAAATAGTATTAAGCAGGACAACGGTTTTCAACATTGATAATAATCAGAAAAGTTTCTTGATGGGAATGATTTCATGGTGACTGAAGACTGGAATGATGTGAAAAAAATCTACTTGTCCTCACAGAAATAAATTGCATTTTAAAGTATATTAAAATAGAAAACCATTATTTTAGTTTGTAATAATATTTCACAATATTATTTATTTTTTCTGTATTTTTTATTTGATTATTTACACTACTTTTTCTTGATGTGAAGTTTAGTTTAGTCGGTAGCGCACCAGACCGATAGATGGCAGTAACGCAACCCTTTTCCGCCCTCCTCGCCCTGGAGTGAAGCAGAATAAGTCCGCTCTGTGCTATGGCTCTGTGGCAGCACTGCAGCGCGTACAGTAAGAACGTCCTTTAACACAACTTGTGTTCTTACTGTACACTCTCATACAGCATAGATGGAAATCTCTGCTTTATGAGCGTACAACATCATGTTATGTTGGAATTTGCTGTTATCAACTTCGTATTCGGTGCATTCTCTTTTAAAACTGGTGTGGGAAATGAGGACATTACAGTTAGTGGCGACTTCTCCGAAAATCCATTAGAATAATTTCAGATTAAATGATTCGTCGGGTCTTAAAAGTATGATAGTTGATACATAGCATACATCAAATGTAAAAAAAAAATTAAAAAAAGAAGTATTTATTGCAACCTTCATATATATTACACCCATCATGATTCCATAAATAGGTTTCCTATTTATGAAACAATGAAAAAAAATTCAATTTCTTTGAAGAAGAAACTGCTTTCATTGCTTCACAATGTAATGCCAACCTTTTTTAAATTATGTTTTATAGACAAATTAAGTTGGGCAAAATATGGAACTAATTGTGACCTTGTTTTCCATGTGTGTAGTTGATGCTTCGGCAGCTCATCTGAAAACACGATGTCTGTCAGTAAGGCTGCTGTCAAGGTGCTGCATTTAGGGAGAATTTCCTACGGTAGTGCCTTGAAGATACAGCAGATGCACATAAAGCAACATCTGGATTCGTCGAACGTCAGCCAGAACACTTTATTACTGTGTGAACATGAGCCTGTGTACACCATTGGCATCAGACAGGCTCCTTACCCTCCCGAGGAGGAGCGAAGACTCAAAGAGCTGGGTGCAGACTTCTTCCGCACCAACAGAGGAGGTCTGATAACTTTCCATGGACCTGGTCAGTTAGTGTGTTATCCCGTCCTCAACCTGGGCTGCTTTAAGAAGAGTGTGAGATGGTACGTGTGTGAACTGGAAAGGACTGTGATCAAGATGTGCAGTAAATTTGGGATCGACGCCTCCTCTTCTCCAGATACAGGTGTCTGGGTGGGCAACAACAAAATTTGTGCAATTGGTAAGTATCTTATTCCACAGTGGGTCATATCATAAAAACATAAGGGAGGACTAACAGCATGTCAGGCTGGTGCTCAAAATGTTTTGGCTCATCTGTGTACATATTTAAGGCTAAAATCTTTTTTAGGTTTTTGAAAGAAGTTTAACTGAGGCTGCATTGATTTGATTAAAAATACATTAAAATTGTAATACTGTGGATTGGAATAATATTACAATATAAATTAACGTTAAAATATTTTTACATAAAGAAAAAGATCCTTCAGAAATTACTCTCTAATAAGCTTATTTGGATCTCGCAAAACATTTCTTATTATTATCAGTGTTGAAAGTTGAACACAGTGTTCTTAATGTTTGTGGAAACCATGATAGTTTTTTTTTTCTGGATACTTTGAATAGAATGTTTAAAAGACAATGTAAAAGTCTTTACAGTCACTTCTGTTCAATTTAATGCATTTTTGCAAAGTATGGAAGCTTGTTTTCTGCCACAGAATTAAACAATTTAAAAGATAATTGCGACTTTTTATCTCACAATTGCATGTTTACATCTCACAATTCTGACTTTATATCTTGTAATTCTGACTTTATAACACACAATTCTGACTTATTATCTTGCATTTGCAATTTTGAGATTAAAAAGTCAGAATTGCGGGATCAAAATTGGCATTCGCCTTTTTATTTTTTATTCTATGGCAGAAACAAGCTTCCATGGTAAAGTTTTAATTTCTTTAAAAAATAAAATCTTAATTGAGCCCAAACTTTTTCATCTGTAGTGTTTTGAATGTTCCCCAAAGCATTTTCATTTTACATTTGATTGGTCACCTAAAAAAAAAGTGCATTTTATTTTATCATATTACACTTTCTCTGTATAAAATGTTTCAACAATATATTTCCCACTTTAAATGGAGGAAGAAAAAAAATCAGGACCCCACTGTACATTTTGTACAAATAAAGTTCAAGAGATGAATGATCAAGTATTGTGTTGGTAATTGTCTTGTTTTCCAGGTATCCACTGTGGAAGATACATCACCTCTCATGGTTTGGCTCTTAACTGCAACACAGACATGAGTTGGTTTGACAACATCGTGCCGTGTGGGATTGTGGGAAAAGGTGTGACCTCCCTCAGCCAAGAGCTGGGACGGGATGTCTCGACTGAAGAGGCCGTACCAAAACTGCTGGAAGCCTTTACTGAACAGTTTAACTGCACTTTAACATATAATGGTAGCTTTAGTTGAAACACTTCGTAATTGTAAACATTAGTGTTTTTTTAATCAACAAATGTTTAAATCTGTCTTCTTGTAATGTTATTAAAAAGAATTGTATTTTTTCCCCTAAAAATATGTTGGTGGTGCCATGGTACAGTGTTTGTTTCAGATGGGAATGCTGAATGCTTGCTATATTAATGTACCATGCTAATACTACATGGTACCCCAAGGTGCTTCAAAGAACATCAGTGTGCACTTAGTTTCAAAAAATGTTGTTTTTGGTCAACCAAACCAGAATTTCTTCATGTTTTTTTTATTTAGTAAACAGTGCTTAACCCAGTAAAGTGACCAAAATGAACAGTAAAGACCAGGAGTTGCAGTTCACATTTCCAAAGGCAGAGCAATAGATCAATGAGTTTTAGGATCCAAGCGTGATCGAACTTAAACTACAGAAACACTAATATTAGGCCTATGCTAAATCAATTTAGCTCGTAATGCTAGATATAAAAGTAGACAACGTTTGTTATTAGCTATAGTGGACATTGACCGTGAGATGGATGGGACGAATGCGCGCTATCGGGCAGAAAGAACAAAATTAGTAAGAACCAAGCTCAACCAATCAGCATGTTCAGCGCACAAGTCCCACCCCGAAAGTTCCTGATCTCTGAAAAAGTACTACCTCACCAGTAGGGACTTTCTGGGGGGAAATTTCGACCCTGGTTCCTGCAATGTAAACACACAGAGTACCACCCCAAAGTTCCTAGTTCCTGGGGAAAGTTCCTGTGGTGGAAACGCGACTATATGTGCTTTCGGCGCTGGACAGGGGTCCGGACATCATGGGCACTCTGACCAGTCTACGGCTGGGGTGAACGTGATTTCACCAAGTGTAACATCTTTTTATCCTTGAACGATATTCCAATCAGATTTAAGGGACAAGTTTAAAGTTTATGTCAAAATAAACGTGTGCTGAAAAGGCGGAGAAAGTGGTCGTTACCAGACCACAATCCTTCCATAATGCATGTGCCCAGCGAAGGGCTCGTCCGCTGAGCAGGGAGATAACGAAGGCCACTTTAGCTTGCTCGGATGGGAATTTACCAGGATTCATCTCCATGTAAAGCTCGCACTGTAACATAAATCCATTGCACTCCCCCCCTCGTCTGAGAAGGGCACTGGCTGGGCCATGGGACATATAGAGGCAGAAGAAGAAGAAAAAGGCATGGTGGATGTAGCGGGGGTAGCTGCAACAATCCGTGGAATAGTGGGGGCTGACGGAGGAGTAGCAGCGGTGGTCGTGGCGGTGGTTGGTTGCAGCATGTTGGTCTGGTCTTCTGTCACAAAACAGGAAGGCACAGATGGGTAAGTTTAAGAGTTTATTGAAATAGATGAACAGCGGGAAATAGCAGGTGAGTGACTGGTTAGCGGATATTTGCAGAAAGCGTTGAACAGTCTTGATGATAGAGTCTCTTATGTTTTTGCAGAGTGGAAGATGACGAAGAGCTGACCGAAGACAGGGAACCAGAGGACCGGACCAGGATGAAGATACAGACGGGTGGCAGACGGGACGGATGCTTCTCCAAAGGTAAGTAGCAGGTAAGTATGTTTCAGAGTGGTAGGAATCTGTAGTCATGGGTATCAACAAGACCAGACAACTGAAGAGGTGAACTGATGTGTCTTTTATAGTGAGGGTGAATTGGAAGGGGATTGCAGGCAGTTGATGACAGGTGATGGTGATTAGAAATCCGGGGAAGCAGATCGAGTGGGCGGAGTGAAGGTGTCTGGCGCTGAAGCTGGTGTATCCGTGACAGTTAGAAAGTAATGAAAAAAAAAAATGACTAACAACTTATCGTTATAAAATCATTATTTATTTTATTAAAAGTTAAGAATTCAGGTTTGTTTATCAGTACCATAGCAACGCTCATCTTCCGCTGGAATTGTCGGATAGGAACCGTCCGCAGCTTTTCACAAGAGGTTTTTGTTCACAATTTTTTTGAACACATCCGGATGACCAACGGACACGATTTTCTTGGCACGCGCACTCGGCCACGTCGAATGAAGTGAGTGCATTATAGAAATAAGGAATGGTGAGAGAACATTGTGCTTGGTACATTTTTTGTCTTCAGCTGACAATGTTTAAATCCTGTCTGCTAGAGTGCTTCCCATAATGTTTAGTCAATGCGTCAGCCAGTAACATGTTATAGGTTCACCATGGAAACATAAATGCCAATAACGAATTTTTTTAAACCTCATATGAGATTCATGACTCCCATGAAGGCCTGATGATATCACCAGAGGGCAATGTCTGAAGCCGGGTGAAATGGCGTCACATGATTCTTTCAGTCTGTCAACTTGCAAATTCACAAGTTCCAATTTTTTTTTTGTCCAACTTTTTCTTTGTGTAAAAACAGTGCCAAATTTTATGAGCTGTAATTATGTTTTTGGAGCAGCTCTCTGTAAAGCTCTCTGTAAAAACTCATTTTTGTAAACATGATTTATATTCTGTCAGGCTTGTGGAAATGCCAGGCCTGTGGTGGACCAGCAGTGATTTATAGGTGTTTTTTTTTTCCTGTGATCATTGCAGTGGCTATGAAAAGGACAAGCGCTAGATTCAATTGCATGTCCTGTCCTCTACAGAGGGTGTGTGTCCTTGGGGCCAAAATCTTGTGATTACATTTATACCTGCTGAAATGTCACCTTTTGAAGTCGAGACTGATTATTATACGGGATGGCATCCGTCTATGCTTTTGATCGCTACCAAAAAAAAGTACTATTCATATTGTTAAGGTTTCATATCGATAATTTCTCTTAAATAAAAAGAGTTTGTGAAGAATCTCTTCAGCTCTTTTCCAGTCAAGAACAGTTGTGAACCTTCAACAATGACAAAAAAAAGCAGCATGTTAAAAATGTAGTCCATACTTTTTGATGTCTATCTTGCTTTATATATGGCATATTTAATTTAAGATTTCCCAATTAATAATGAGTTTGAGTATCGGTCTGTTCCTCACGCAAAGCTTTGTGGATTCAAAGAGTTGTAATGTTTCACATATGGACTACTTTTTTTGGAGAGATGTTGTTGCTTTGAGCTAAAAACCTTTGGTAGTGTTTTGGTTAGTGTTTTTTTGTAGAGCAAAGAGCTGTGTGATTCCTTAAAGGAGCAATGTGTGATTTTTAGCGGCATCTAGTGGTGAGACTTGCGAATTGCAAACGGCAAGTCACTCGCGGCCTCTCCCTCCAATTGCAAACTCTATTTTGAAGCTACGGTGGCCAACGTAGGATAAAGTCAAAGAGAATAAACTATGTCGTCGTCTGAGTCTGCAGAGAGTAGCAAGACAAGCAATGAGGTTAGGGTTATATTTATTAAATTCTATTTTCTTTATTTTACAGTAAATCAACATGTTTTTGCGATTGTTATTTGATCATCATTGTGTTGGTGTTTTAATTCACAGACTTTACCATAGTTTCTATGCTATTTAGTTAGAACAAGGTAAGAGCTAAGGGTAAGAGCATCAAATCAGCTACGTAAGGGGAAATAGTTAACGTTATGATTTCCGAGGCATCACTCGGACAGCATTGTTTATACACGTTTTCAGAGTCAGGAACAACCTGAATACGCACCAGAGGTAACTGGAAGAGGGAGAGGGAGAGGGAGAGGGAGAGGAAGAGGAAGAGGACGGAGAGGCAGAGGTGTTGTAGGTGCAGTCAGGGAAGGGAGAGGCAGAGGAGGACCTACCCGCCGGATCGATGGCTCAGAGGATGAAGAAAGAGTTTTAGCCCTCCAAAGGAACCGGAGAGCTGTTACTGAGGTTTGTATTTATAAAGTTATTGTAACGTTATTATATTCTGACCTGTCTGCACTTTATAAAATCCAAGCACACAATGATAACGTTATTTACATAGTAGCTCTGTGCACATGTACCCCTGTTACTGTAACGTTAGTTAATAGTTTAATGATTTCATAGTTTAACCTGTCATTTACTGAGCAACAATGATTATATGAAGCAATATTACACAAGTTTAGCTAATACTGGCCAGACTTTAAACCCCATATGGTACCATATTCTCAACATATGTAATATTTAAAATATGTACATCATTTATCAGAATCAGAAATTGTGTATTGATAACCTATAGGATATTCTGGGTCAAATTTGCTAAGCTTGCATGTCAAGATACTAAGAAAAAGAAATCACTATATAAAGTAGGTAACCAGAAAATATAATACAATAAACAAATTCTAAAATATAATAGTTAATTTTGAGTGGATACTATATTAAAAACAACATTATTGAGACAGTAACCAGAGTATATAAATTGAGAATATTGCATATTGATTATTTTTCCCTGTGTCCCTTTTCTTCAGAGACTTCTACAGGAGATGACCCTAGAAGAACACCGAGAGCTCTCCACCCTTCTGCTTGAGAGACAGCCAGGCCTGGTCTTTGATGCCTTGATAATGCATCAGCGCAGACACGGTGCTCCACCTTCTGCTGGAGTCCCAGAAGTACCTTGGTGTACTTGTGGTAACTGTCGGGAAATGCCTACGGACCAGGAGAGGAAATGCTGTGGCCAGGATCAAGCTAACTGTGTGAGCCTAATGCCTCACTTCTCCCAGTACTGCCTTGAAGAAGGCTTTATTCGCATTCACAGACAGTACCGGGAGGACATTACGGCATTAGGCAACATCAGGGAGCCTGGGGATGACAACCGAGAGTACCGTTATGGAGCCTATAGACACTTTATCTATTGGCAACATGGAGCTTTAGGCCAGGGAAACCGACTTGTCATTCCCAGCTGTTGTGTACGGAGGATCAGGGACAAGTTCCCTGATCCTCAAGGACACTACACTGGTTTTATTCCTGGACTATGAATTTCCTTCCAGGCCCTCTGGCATGTTCATACAGTTTCCACAAGTACTCCCAAATCTGCCTCAGCATCATCAAGGCATCAAACCAATGTACATATTTACCGTTTGATTTATTATTTTTCTATATATATTTATTACTATTGTTCCCATTTTTATGTCATTTTAATTTATGTTTTACAGTTATATATATTGTTATAGTTGTTCATCTGTAGTTCTATGTTATTGAAAAAATAAAAGTTAAGAAATAGAAAAGCATGGTGTTTTATTTTCCATTATATACATTTGAACATTTTTTTTTTTAAAAGTATGACAATTTCAAAATTTGCCTTCAAATTATCAAAATCAATTTTATTTTTACATATTTTCAAAACATTATACATCTGTAGCCTTAATTCTCATTATTGATCAAAATTGAACACTTTAATTTGAGCTACCACTGAGAATAATATGCGCTGTTAACACTGTTTTTAACTCGATAAAATGAAACTAGTTGAAATCAATGATTTTGACGTTGAATTGAAATTATTTCCTTCGTGATCCTGCTGACAAGGACACATGCAAGGTGATCTCCTATGGGGATCCTTCCATATCGGATGCTGGTTGGAGTAATGGTCCTGTTGAATACAGTGCAATCACACAATTACAGACTATATTTTAAACCAAATATCATTCATTGACACGTAATAGGGTACAACATAGTAGTCAAATATTTTATTACTTACCTAGACCTCTTCTGACTTGTCTCTGCAACAATTCAGATGTGGCTGGTGCAGGTACAGGGGGCACCAAACCAAGCTGTCTTGGGTCATCTGGTCGAAGGCTCCTCCTTCTAGGCATCCCCACTCCGCTTGTGATTCTGTTATTTACAATCCTTCCTTGCAGCTCGGAAATGTATCTGTATGTTTTTTCTGTTTTCATGGCATATACACTGTATCTTCTAGCGTTCTTCTTATACAGTTTTTTGAAACTGAAAATACACAAATTATAACCATAAACCATCAAATTGTTAGTAGATCAATAGACAACCAAGAGTGTAAAGACAATCCATTGCTTAAATTATTTTTTCAAATATTGTACTTTCAATATGACTTTAATATTATTGTAAAACATACATTTCTTTCCCATCCAATGTTTTCAGTGTTGGTCGGTTCAGGTGGTAATTGTAGTCCAAAGCAGCAAGCAGAATTCTTGCCTCATAAACTGGAGGGCTGAATGCATAGCGCTTGCTAGCATACATCAGGATGTGGTTATTGAATGACTCTAGGTCTGCAGTCGATCTAATAGAACAAACAAATGTATAGTTCTGTGTAAATGAACAGTAAAACACAAACATTAATAAAATACATTGTTCAAAAAAAAAAATATAGCCACACTACCTGAATTTCAGATATTTGTGGACATCTTTCTGCCACCTCTTATTTAGGACTATATCCACTAAAGCTTTGTGGGACTGTGAGTCTCTCTGGATCCACGCCTTTTCCCGTATTTGCTCTGATTCAAGGTGACCGTGTTGACAGCTTCCCATAGTCCATGTGTGAATGTTGCAGACATGGTGAAGGATGCCTACCCATAATGCCTTCAAAACATAAAAACGCAATTGTAAGATGTCTTTAATATAGCAATTAATGAGAATACTCAATGATAATTAAAATAAAGTGTGCTTACAAGAAATTTCTCACGTGTGTCGGCAGTCTTGCAACACCACCAAAAATGGTTGACCTTTGTTCAAGGCCCTGAATTTCAGTGGCTTCAACAATGACATCAAGATGCTCATCTCTGTAAAGAATTAACAAAGAAAGTTGTGTATATCCCACATATGCACATTCAACACTAGATATAGACCAAATATAAATTCAAATTACACAATAATCATAATGATCTCTTTTATAATTAAAGATAATAGGAAAAAATCGATAGGACATAATGCATATTTCACCTGTCTGTTCCACTGGAAGCACCTATACTTGACAATGCTGTAGCTGGGACTTGAAAAGGTTTTGTCTTCAAGGGAGTTGATGTTGTAGGACCTGTCTCATACCTGGAGAAACAACAGCAGCAACAATAAATGAAGTGCTACTTGACACTGTCGTATACGACTGTAATACATTACTGTATTGTAATTCACAATGTGTAGCATCTTTTTATGGTTTGCTCATCGGGCCTTATAAACTGAACATCCCCAAAAATATGACGTCTGGTGCAAGTATGATCACCGACAGACAACATAGCAAACGTAAGCCAATTGTGTGTAACATTATGATTGTTTCTATACAACAGTACATTATAAAAACACATCCTAGATAATGTTTACAAATCCATAATCAGGTAAGGATCAAGGTCCTTAATATGTAGAATAATTATACTGATCAGCTAACTTAATTGTCTCACGAACGTAACCAGCAAATTTCTTCTCACATAGCAAACACATAGCTAATACAGCTAACTTTAGGGAGAAGCACAAAGTTACATGAAACAAACTAACTAACGTTACATATTTTACTATACTGTCTGAAACACGGTGTCAATGACTATGCTCACATTATCAAACAACAGTTTTAATTTTGATCGTTAAAGTTTGAATATCTTACCTGTCTAGCAGAAAACAGGCAACCTCGGCGTCGCTATGAAAGCCCTTTTCCCTCATAAGATCCTTCCATCTAGGAAAGGCCACACCGATGTTGACCCGCGATTTTTGTCTACGATTCTGCCTTATTTTTCTAGCTTCATCATGCTTTCTCTTCTTTGAAGTAGATTTACCCGGCGATATCGGATCTTTACCTGAACAGTAAGTGTGGTCCATCGTTATTCCGGAAATTCTGCAGCGTCTTTTTCTGCTGCTTCTGATTCCGGTTATATACGAAACGCGCTCTGTAACGATGTTTGTCCGCTGTCGGCTACAGTAGAAATATGACGTCACAACATGGCTGCCTTCATAGAAGGGGATTCCCACCCCTATGTAGATTTAAAAAGACTCATTCTAAGGTAATACAAACTTTACGGTTCATTAAGTAAGGTCTTTATACACTACTAAACACATAGTTATGGATTTTATATTGCATTTCTGTCAATAGATCCACAGAATTCTTACACATTGCACCTTTAAAATATATACTTATTAATTTAACTGTTGTTGTTGTTTTTTTTAATGAAAGCTATTTACAAACTTCAACCAATAGATGGCAGTGCTTCGATGCATATCTGGTTTTGAAAAGGGGTTGTGATGATGATAGCAAATGTAGGATTTGTAGTGTTGTAGTGGAAACGTGTACCATATATGTGGATGCTTTGCTTTGGAATTAACCTTTTGTGACTGGATTAATTGATTTTCATGTTTATCTGTGGCGAAATCAAACTGGAAAAAAAGGTAACAGTTACTATATCTGTACGAATATTTTTGTGCATTTGTATGAAAAGACATGGAAAGCTGTTTTCATGAAATTCTCTAACCTCTTCCTGCCTGATACATCTCTTTGTTTAGTTTTATTGATTGTGGCTACTTGAACATTAATTACCTATTCATATGCAAGCCAGGACAGTCATGTAGGCTAATTGAATTATGTGGAATAAGACCAAGCAATAAATTGATTGTCACCCTAGGAATGTGCATAAAAACGAAACCCTCTATTGATTCACTCCATCACAACAATAAAGACCGGGGGGGAAATTGGTCTAAAAGCATGACGCTATCATCACCAAACAAGCTGACCAGCTGGAATATGTTTTTATTGGACAACAAGGATGAGAGTTTGACATTAAAAACAGAACACAGCCTGAAAAGAAGTGTGTAAGAGAAGAGCTGCACTTAAAGGCAACCCAAATACAGCCAGTCTTCGGGAGTTTGAATGACCCTCTAGAGGATTCCAACACAGATGTCAGCTTTAATACAGTAGCAAACAAGAACACTGCTATCCTTTACAACGTGCGATGGTCACGCCGTCCCCTCTGCTCAAATGCTCTCATTGACGGCTAGTTATATTGAGACAAGCACTGTGATTGGATCAGGAAGCACCATCACTAGGACATCCTTTTCCTTATGGAGAGCGCTAAAGAAAGCTTGAGCAAGAAGCAGTCAAAGACCATGTTCTGTCAGCCCAGCTCTCTAGGTCAGACCATCTAGATGACAATTTTCAATGAGAAAAACATTACAGTATATTTTATTATTTTTCCTTTATTGAAGATTTCTTTTAAGTGCAAGCTCACCATATTGAGCATCTAATTTCAAAGCCCTTTCATACTTTTACTAAAACTGCAGTTGCATTCAAAGTCAAAAGTAGGATATTCCTCGCTGATTCCAGTGCCTGACACTCAAGATGCCGTTTATGGAAACATTATTAAAGGAGTAGCTCACTGTTAAAAAAAACCTTTTGCTGATAATTTACTCACCCCCATGTCATCCAAGATGTCCATGTCTTTCTTACTTCAGTCGAAAAGAAATTAAGGTTTTTGATGAAAACATTCCAGGATTTTCTCCATAATGGACTTCTTTGGGAACCAAACGGTTGTACTTATTGTAGAGTTAACAAAAGTTATCATGAGCATTGTAATGTTTATCATAACCATTGTAAAGCAGATGTCCTAACAAATGTCAACCGGGAATTTTTTTTACGAGCAGTTCATTCATACCTATGCAAGATCGCTGTGAAAATACAGACCGGAAGTCAAAAGACAACAAGCGCAGCACTGAAAAGGGGCGGGGCTACATAAGATCCGCATTGACGTCACTTTCCCGCCGGAACAACCCCCCTCAGCTTGACTGAGTGGCAAAAGATCTGCTGCGCGACTGGATTTAATAGGGGAAACTGCAAAAATGCGACCAAAATTAACAATTTTATAAAATTTTAAACTAAATGTTGGACTCAATATAGTGTTCCTTACAACTTACTAAAGATCCAGTGATCCATGGATATTGACATGCAGCCAGGAATTGTGTTGCCTGACATTTATGTTTGCCTGATTTCGACACTAGGGAAATAAAAGCAATATAGACCTAAACATAAAGCAAATTTGCCTATGAACGCTTTATATAAATACAATATAGGTAGGTCTAAATCTTATATCAGTGTTATATTTAGCCTATATATATCATCATATCATCCAGCCCTAAAACTTTATAGTTTTTTTTGTCAGTGTTTATTAAAAAAACATCCAATAATGCAGAATATGCTATGATAAATATTTAATTGATGGGTTGTTAATATA